ATACATTTCAAAACCCAATTTTTAAAATATAGACACGCGAAGTAAAAAAAAGTCATTATTAGGGCCTGTTAATCTATAACTGGATCTGCATAAAAATTGTGGCCCTTGAGTGGGCAACTACCCCCTCCACCAAATAACTTCCCTGAAAAGGATACCTATATCAGGTCGAGCTCACAGCACTTTTTCCAAATTTTTCGTCATCGTATCATATTGTAAAGTCAGAAAGAGTAAAGATACCTTTTTTTTTAGCAACTGTACACGGCAGATACATTCCCCCTACTTCGGTAATTTTCATGCATATTCATATGTATACTGGGTATCTCTAACATGACACAAACCATCATAAGATTCTAGGATATTATGTTCCAAAATATTGTGTACCACTTGAAATATACAGTAAAACAACTCGACCTTAACTGTGGCTGCACACAAACCACTACACTGGGGATACCAAAAAATAACTAGTGCCAGCTCATAAACCCACAGAGATCCAACATTAGTGGTGATACAACATTTTCAACACATGGGGCGAGATTGAGACCTGTAAAGCCTTGTAAAAGCACGAGATAGGTTAAACTCAAGCTACTGTGTACTTCTGTACTACTGTACTTCTCTTTTCTTCTGTGAAAGAAAATCTCGCAAATATTCATTTCTTGAACTGGTTCAACACAGTTGTGAGACATTCATCCATGATTCTCAGGCGTTTCTCTAACCATCAATTTATTAATCATCAACATAATGTATATATGTACTATACAGACAGAAAATATGTAAAAAATTATGGATCCCGTATCCCCTTATTTCAGACTAATAGCTCCAGTCGTGCAACAATCGGCTATAATTGAAGTTGATGACATACCCCTCTTTGACCTGTAATAAACAGCAAGTGCCACATATAGAAATATCTTTACTTAACTTACGCTAATGCAGCTGGGGGTGTTTCCTATTACTTACGTTCCTCTTTCTCCTTATAAGACAACTGTCTATAGCATCCTTCACTGTCGAGGTTATGATCAGTCACCCACTGTTTTTCTCCCAATTCAGGCTAGTTTCGCCCGGGCCGTACATATTTTGTAGCCTGGCCTGTGTCAGCTATTTAGAGGTCTCAAATGATTCATCATGGTGGTCGGATTGCTAGCAAGCGATCTAGCTTCCACGATGTAAGCAAGGGACATGATCATCTCATTAGCCTGTCGATGGTCTCTCGCCACATGCTTACAATAGCTGTCTGCATGGTCAATGGTGTCGATAATTTACCATGCACAATGGTAACCTAGACTAATTCTGTGAAGAATGACTTTTAGTAATTGTTGCAGAGAATGGCTCATATTCTGTGGCATCTGAGTACCATCTGACCGAGGGGAAGGTCCTTGCTTTCTCTCTGTGTAACTGCAGGACAGCGGCCTGATCATGGTATTTAGGGGAATACCCCTGCCAATTTTAGTTAGTCTGTCAGAAGGCTCATTCCTTCTGATGCCAATGTGGTTGGGATCCAGTTTATGATTCTTCTTCTACCCTGAATCGTCTGCACTATAGTATAGATGTTGTCGGGCATGCTGTGCAGCAGCTTGTCAATGGCTACCCTGGAATCTGTATGTATAATCACGTACCCTTTGGCAACTGTTCATATACGAGTTTTCGAATTTTAATCTTATGTGTTAATTTTGGAATTCTCCCATTTCTCTTCATGATCAGCAACATGGTATGACGACGATGTCTGTACAGAGAAGTATAAAACACAGACATACGTGTATATATATATATATATATATATATATATATATATATATATATATATATATATATATATATATGTATGTATATATATATATATATATATATATATATATATATATATATATATATGTATATATATATATATATATCAATTCTTTCTCAATGAGTATATATATATATGTTCTCTCTCAATGAGTATATATATATAAATATATATATATATATATATATATATATATATATATATATATATATATATATATATATATATATATATATATAACAGCCACTATTCCAATGATGAACATTGAACAAGTTTGATCAGTCATGTGTCTAAAATCTTGCTACACGTACTTCAAGTAAAAGAATTCCTGGTTATTGTAGTTACTAGAGAAACAATTGGTTGTATTCATGTATCACCAGAAAAAATACTGGATTTTAACAACAAAATGTGGACTGTATTTGTTTAATTTTCAGGCGTCTGAGAAGGCATTTGACCGAGTACAATGGTGCAGGCTGGTGGAAATTTAGAATTGTTTAGAATTTGTCCGTGAGGCAAAATGCGTTAGTCAGAGCAGATGGAGAAGAAAGAAAAAAAATGTTCTTGGTAGATGTGTGAGACAAGGATGCAGTCACCCATATTGTTCTATATATACACTAAAGCGATGAAGCAAGCATCTTTTGGTATCTTTTGTTTACGGCAGTCAGCTTTGCAGGAGACAAGACAATTTTCTGTTCATCCGAAGAAGGCCTAAATATTAATTTTGCCTGTATTTCTAGATTTGAAAAGTGTTGTAACAAAGTTATGTGGGAAGTCACTGGTGACGAGAGATTTGATAGTAGTAACCCGTTCCAGGTAGACTCTTTGGTCAAGGGGTAACACTGTCGTTTGCTCCCAAAAGCATTTGTTTTATGCAGGTATATGATTAGAAGTTGAAGCAACAGTTTGTTCATATAAGATTTTTCGAATCTTAGCGAAGAAGTCTTCCGTGTTAGTTTTGGAATTCTCCCATTTCCTGTTTTAGCAGTCTGTTCATGATCAGCAACATGGCATAGAATGACGTCTGTATGGAGAAGGATGTTTATTTGTTATTTTTACATCTATTACTAAAGGATTTTTAATAATTTCTTGACAATCTGATTTGTCATCTTTTAGGTCACATAAAACAAAGAGAGGTTGTCTGTACTGCCTGCAGTGAATGAAGTATACTACGTTGTACGGTTACCCAGATATCTTCCTGAATTACATCTGATACATAATATGTGAAGATTTCTTTCAATAATTAGTTTTAAAATGTTCTCAGAATGTCCAAGAGGGATTGTGCGTATAGATTTTCTATTTAACTGCAGTGTGCTTTGACTAACGTGTGTTAAAACAGTGGAACATACCAGGAGTTTCGCTCACCTGAGAAAGTATGTGTCCTTGGCCTTGGAAGGAACCATGTGGATGATGCCGCTTGCATTGATGCTTTTTAGAAGACTATCATTCACGTCATTGCTTTCGTTCTGATGGCGACATGGTTTAAAAATTATTCAGAAGCAATGCTGATCATGAAAGAGTGTTGATCATGATAGCAGCAAATATATGCCGAATATATATATATTAAAACTGAAACTGGATTACCTTGAGGCGAAAGCTCACCAGTCCAAGAGTAACTGGGAAGAAGATTTCGAAGCGAGAGTCTTCGCGTACCAGTGCTTCGAACTCATGAGCCAATGCTATCTGGAGAATATATACCAAATGAATACTGTATACTTGCACACACACACACACACACACACACACACACACACACACACACACACACATTGTTAAGAATACAGAGCAAGGCCGGATGATACATTTCACACACTGTCCCCAGCAGCTGCCTTCCTCTGTGAGCGGACGCAGGTGCCCTGCCCGAGTTTCTATTTTATCACTCCTATGACGGAAGTAAACATCCCTCCACGGGAACTGCCGGATAAAAGGACACGTTTCGTCAGAAGGAGCGAAACACGGCAGACAGGCCAAGCCACACAGGGTCCAAGCTCCACCACCTCGTCCTCGACCCAGGGGGCAGGGTGTCTCTTGGGAGTCTCACATCTACTTTCAAACAATAAACCAATAAGCTAAGACCCCTTTCATTGACAAACCCAAGTCCATCTCGTGTGTCGTTCATACATATCACTAGCATGATCAAACATATAGACACACACAGGATGTTTATGCTTTCAATACAACGTAGCTGTGAGTTACCTGCTTCCTAATGTGGTCCTGCAGTCCCTGCCTGCCATACAACCGCATGACGAACCACAGCTTGAGAGAACGGAAACGCCTGCTTAATGGGATCTGCCAATGCTGGAAAGCAAAATGAGGTTAAATTCCTGAAAGAGATAAGAATGCACTCTCGATCCAATCAATGTCTCAGTCTGTGTGTGTGTGACACACACACACACACACACACACACACACACACACACACACACACATATATATATATATGTATTATATAAATATATATATATTATATAAATATACAAATGTATATATGTATATATATGTGTGTATATATATATATATATATATATATATATATATATATATATATATATATATATGTATATTATATAAATATACAAATGTGTGTATATATATATATATATATATATATATATATATATATATATATATATATTATATAAACATACAAATGTATATATATACATACATATATATATATATATATATATATATATATATATATATATATATACACATATATATATATACACACACATGTATATTTATATATATCACACATATATATATATCATATGATCAGCCATAATCATCTTATTTATAATTATCTGTTTTATCTGTTTTATATTATAATACTAGTAACGTATATATTGCATACCTACGAGCTCTGCATTTTATTCACCGTTTCCCCTCAAAAAAGAGCAAGGAAGTAACATATAAAACATGGTGGCAGCTATACTCCAAATATAGACAAAGAGGGGAAAGAGGTAATGAATTGGAGATACCGAAATGTGGACATTAAAATATGAGAGGTAAGCGACCAACCAACAAAGAGACCAGTGCCACTTTGCGCCTAATTCACGAAAGATTCATTCAGTGAAGAAATCAAGACAAATAAGACTGAAGTATATAAAAAGCATACGAAAGTAATTTACAGTTCGCTTCATAGTTCCTGTCTTAATGCTCGCACTGCTACGCCAGCAGTTATCAAAATGGCTGACGCCGAATATTGCTGTCACTCACCAAGTATGAATTAGAAAACTAGCGATTCTTATAACGTATCATATTCTTCAAAATTAAGAAGATACCAAGAGAAGATCAGGGAAACCATATCATTTTGTACACAGATGCTCGCGGACATGGTAGGGGTAAACAATTGGACTGAAGAAAATATGAAAGACCCTGACAAAATTTGGGATGCTCTTCAGTCTCAGGTAAAACCTAAGACTAATAAATATGTCGATAGACTCCGTTTTCGAAGATTCTTTCAAAGAAAAAAATAATCTAGTGATAAGTTCTTAAATAGATGTGAAGCTAAGAGCTGCAAATTTACCGAGACATAACACGAACCAAGAGTCATAAGGTTGAGTAAAGCCATGACATTGGCTGATCTTTTGAAGCAACCATAAAAGGTAACAGAGAGATGAGAGCCAAAATAGTCAATTATGGCTTAAATGTTGATACTGTTAGATATCAAAATTTTGCAAGGGCATCAAAACCATGCAAAAAATATGGGCGAGCATACAATAAATACTCCCCACAGTCCTGCCCAGCATGGTGCTAGGTGCAATACATGTGGCAAGATGAACCACTGGAAAAAATGTGTCTATCAATACCTAAAAATAAGAAAAAAATAGGAGCTACATCAGTGACAAGTCCAAGAAAGCTATCAGAACATCAGCAGTACGTGAGTTCAGTCAAGATGACTCTAATGAGTATTATTTCACAGTACTTTTAGAGTAGCAGAAGTGTCAAACAGTGATGATGATGAAGCTCTACGACCTATCAAAGTCAGGACCCCAGCAACAAGACTGATTTAATGACAATCAGAGTCGATACAGGGGCTGAAGCAAACATGCTTCCTAAAAGAGCATTGAATTATGTGCCCAGATTTATTAGATGCTTATGGAAAACCGAAAACCTGCCTGACCAATAACCGTCAAAAGAATTTGGTTGCTGTGAACAATTTGAAACCCAAACATTTTGGGTCGATTAAATTTAAATGCACATGCGACGAGACAAATTGGATCGAAACAGACTTCTACACTTCTACCAAGAAGTTGGACCAATTATTTTGGGTCTGCCAAGTCTGAAAGCCCTAGGCATGGTCACAATTCATGAGACACGAATGTACCCTCAAACAGCCATGGCCGTCCAGTCCGTGGCCGATTTAAAGAAATTATAGCCAGATCAATTTGATAAAATTGGAAATTTTTATAGAAAATACCACATAGTACTGAAAGAAGGTTCAAAACCAGTTGTCCATGCGCCAAGAAAATTTCCTACACATAAAAAGGAAGAACTTCAAAACCAGCTTAAAGAAATGGAAAAAAATAGGAGTTATCAAAAAAGGTGTCGGAACCTACAGATTGGGTTAACAGCATAATCTGCACCATGAAGAAAGATGGTAGTCTATGCGTGTTTAAATCCAAAAGACTTGAGCAAAGCTATAAAGAGAAGCCATCACAAGTCTACACAAGACGAAATCCACACTACATTCAACACTCCTTTTGGCCGCTACTGATACCTCAGAATGCCTTTTAGTCTGGTTAAGTCACAAGATTTTTCCAGCAAATAGTGGATCAGATCCTTGAAAACTGTTCTGGTACCATTGGCATTGCTGATGATGTATTTGTGTTTGGGAAAATGGAAGAGGAGCATGACATAAATCTGCATAACCTCTTCAAGATAGCCAAGCAGTAAGGATGAACTTTCAATAGTGCAAAGTACATGATCAAGCAGGAACAAGTGAAGTTCTGCGGCACTGTTTACAAGGAGAAAGGCTCTCACCCAGATCCAGACAAGGTATCGGCACTGCCGAGCCCAACAAATGTTACGGAGCTGCAACAATTTTTGGGAATGGTCACCTATATGTCGCCATTTATCCCAAACTTGGCTGATGAAACTGCACCACTCAGAAGTCTTCTAAAAAAAAGGTGTAAACTTTACATGGTCACCAACCCACAAGAAGGCATTTGAACACATTAAGAGTCAACACAGATGCAACACTGGTATATTTCAATCCAAATAAATCAACAGTTATAAAAGTAGATTCATCACAAGAAAGGTATTGGTGCTGCCGTAATGCAAGATGACAAGCCTGTCGCTTATACATCCAAGTCTCTGTCTGAAACAGAGCAATGCTCTAGACCTACAGACCAACTTTGTTACATTCAGCAACGAGAAACTAGACAAACTTTGACAGGAGGCCTCAAGAGACGTTACCCTACATGGATTGAAAGATGTCATTATCAAGGATAATGACATCTCATGTCATTATCACAAGCAAGCATGGCTGTGATCAAGGCACTTGTTTTCTAAGCATGGAGTTCCCCAAAAAGTATATAGTGATAACAGACGCCAATGCAGCTCAGAAGAATTTGCAACGTTCGCTTCGAACTGGAAGTTTGAACATATAACAAGCTAACCCCACTATCCTTAATCAAATGGATTCATTGAAAGAATCATCTAGACCGTCAAAAACACCCTCGACAAGGCAAAAAGAAGCAACAAGGATCCAGAAA